TCTATGTATTTATCCATTTATTTTTCAGGTGAGCGGACAGATGTTGGGTGTGTGGTCCTGTGTTTTGTTGGTGTATATTTAATATACTCCTAATTGCTATTTCAGTCTTTCTGTCTTTCTAATTACTTCTCTCTCTCTGTTTTTCTGTCTCTATTTTCCCTTCACAAAAAAAACCATAATGGTGTGGAGAGGATGGCTATAAGGGGAGAAGGGAGGCCACCCAAAAAAAAATATTGAGGGAGTTATTGAGCATCATTTGTAAGCAAAAAGGGGAAAATTGGAGATCGATRGGCTGCTTAAAATAAATTATAAATGCAAAATATTCCATTTCAGAATTYAAATTTGTTCCCATTTGTGAAAGGTAGGGGTGACGGCGTCATGGTTTGGGCTTGTTTTACAACCCATGGGTCAGTTTAAACCTGCTTAGATCTTGATGCTGCCACTTCAAGGATAAAAAAGTTACCTGTAAGAATGTAAAAAATGTATTGTTCAAGCAGGCAATTTGTTTTGATCTAAGTATTACCACAACATTACAGTATGCAAACATATTACATTACAGGAAGAAAACTCATGTGTTTGAACAATATGTTAGCACAATAACAAAAAGTAAACATAAAAAAATTAAAGGTTTTTGATACAAAATTATAGGTTTGTGTTTTGTGATAGTGTGAAGATAATGTCAAACCAAGAAAATTATGAAAAACAGTAACAYCTTTAAAAGTATGTGGTCTGAACAATAAGCTTCACTTTAAATAGTTTTATTATATTTTTTCTGACAGAAAAACTCTTCCATAAAATAAGACTTTAGGACGACCAAGTTTGAAATATTCCATTAAAGTTATAGCAGCTACCTGTGAAACAAGCTCAACAGAAARTGGGTCATGCAGCAAGACAGCAACCTCAAACACACAAACGTTGCTTCTAAACAACAGTTCAAAATGCTTTATGTTTAGAAGAGTCACTACAAACTTCAACTGGAATGTGGAACAGAATTAACACAAAGGTTATGKATGTGTGAGGGAGATAAACAGTATTTCAAACTAACATGAAGGACTGATAAAACAGTGGAACCTTYAGTAAATCTTGGGTAAATATCTGTGTCCATTGGGAGGTTGGGGCTGTGTTTGCACTAGATAATGGAAGCACATGTTCACACTCATTTGCATGTTGCATCAAATCTCCAAACATTCAAATAAGCACTACTTTAAAATAAACTATCAGGTAAAATTTCTTAAACCAAACATATGTGGTGTTATCTCAAATAGTTTAAACAACAGACAATTATAAAATTATCAAAACTATCAAACTTTCAGTTTGGAACAAAAAAAGTTGTTCTGTGATCACAATGAGGAGAGTGTTATAAATCTGAGGCTGATATCAGTGAGTATTTTTTATTCATGTAAACATATCTGTACAGTTAACAGCGAGTAAAACATTCGTTTTCAGCACTAACTGTAGAGCATGGTGGTGACGGTGTCATRGCTTGGGCCTGGGTCTGGCTTGTGTTATTTTAATGTCATATTTATAGGATTGCAAAGAATTTATTTATTCATTTTTATTCCTCTTTTTTGTATTCATAACACATTCTGCAGTATTTTTGTGAATCAGTGTAAAGCCATACAGCTTTACCCAGGGGTGTCACTAGGTTTTAAGGACAAGGGGGGCTTGCCCCCCCCCCCCCTTGACTTTTTAAAGCTGACTGAATTCAGGTGGCAGTAAAAACATAATACTTAATCTATCTGTTGATGTAGAGCTGGATATAGAGAGTCAGAGGCAGCAGGTAGGACAGGGTGTCTCAGGTAGGACAGGGTGTCTCAAGTAGGACAGGGTGTCTCAAGTAGGACAGGGTGTCTCAAGTAGG